TGCTTGTCCCTTTCATTAAACGGTTATTTAAAATGAAAAGGAACGAGTTTGTTGGCCTGCAGAAATGGTGGCCAGCATGACCAAGCAAAGCCAAGAGTGCCAATATTTTAATAATAGTGAGAACAGACGGAACATCTATAAGAGTACAAACTTTGTCAGACAATTTGCAACTCTTCAAGAAACTACTGCACATGCTTAGCAAGTCCATATTAATGTGAGCCTGCCACATCCGTACAATATTATTGTTTATATCAAGTTTAATATATTAGTTTCTTTTTTTCTGAACCACAAATGGCTTTTAATTGGGCATATAAATAATAAATAATAAACACACAGTGGGCTCCAAATGTCTGAGACCAGTGGAAATGCTTTTACTTTGCTTTATTTTTGAATTTAAGACACCATTTTTCATAAGAAATTACATTCTCACCAACAACTTAAGTGAAAAGTAGAGTCTCCGAAATATTTACAAGAATTTCAATTTCTTAGTCCTTAATCTATCCCCCTTTTGCTTTAATGACAGCGTGCACTCAAGCTGGCATGGCCTCCACAAGTTTGTGTAAAACCTGATGATCCATGTTAGCTCAAATCTATTAGAGTGCCATCTGAACCCATGCTTCAATGGAAGAAATGAAACTCAAGGAAAATCTGACCTTTTGTACAAATGTTAACTACATTCTTACATGCTTACATTTAAACAGTGACCTAGAAATAGTGCAGCATCTTGAATGTGGAATAGACGCTTTCTTTTAGTTGCAGATTTTAAATGAAAAAAAAAAAAAAATCTCGGATTTTCAGTGTGACCTCAGACTTTTGGACCCCACTTCAAGAAATAGAAGAAGAAGAAGAAGAAGAAGGGGAAAAAAAACATAAGTCAAGGGGCAAAAAGGCTACATGACAATTTGAAGATGTCCACTATATGGGTCTAAGGTAGAAATGTTACAGCTGTAGGTATTTAAATAAAAATAAAATCATAAACATTAACATTTATGATCCCAATAATATTGGTTTATTGTGATTTTCACCTTCTGTGGTTTGTTATATGAATGCATGACGTTACGTTCGCTGTCTGTGGCTGTAAAAATGAATGAATAGTTCAGTTCGATGAAATGCTATATTTTATTTAACCAGTAGCTGAGATTTTGTCACTTAGCCTAAAAAAAAAAAAATGTGTTTGTTATTAAATTGGTGGAAATTAATTACATGCTGCATCACGTGGGTAATGAATGATACCGAATAATCTGTCGGATGCTTTTTTGCTTTCTCGACTACAGAATGACTTGAAATGGCCACCACTTGTGATCACGCCACTCCAATATTTATTTCTAATCAGTAATGTTGTGCTCCTCTACAGGAAGACGCCCTTTTCTCAGTGAAATCAATGCAATGTCCATGTCTCTGTGTGTCCTCCCCGCTGAAGTGCACATCTCAGACTGAGAAGTCACTATTACACAAGCCAGGCAGGTTCTCTGTGTTATGGAATGTGATATATACCAGTAGCTTACACTGACCATTGTGTTCTAGCCATAACAGTTTACTTTGTGGTCGCGTAAGCCACAAAACAATGATGACCTCTCTGAGAAAGTTACAGCACTGTGGGAGTAACAGAGGAACCTTTCAACACCTTACATCACAGAAAGCTGTTTCTTTCCTCCCTTTTTTTTTTTTTATAGAGATGAAGACATGTGGGCTGAGTGGTATGAGGTCTCCTAGCCTGCAGTGCACACATGAGGCTAGCCGTGATTCATTTACACTGACAGATCCGTTTTCACAGATAGGCTCGCGCATAAATATGCCATGCTGCACAGCTGGAAAATGTAGAAATTCATCAGGGTTAAAAAGTGGAGAGATTAACGTTTCACGAGTTTCCTCTTAAATATATATTATTACGTAAACACAGGGCAGACGTGAGGTGGGTTGAACCTGAGAATGGCCAAAGCAAGCACAAAGCCAGGGTTTCACCGGGCTCTCGCGGTCGAAAAAAAAAAATTTCCATACTAACATGCGTGGAAAAGTGTGAGCTGAGGGAATGGAGTCATATAGCAACAAATCCTTTCATAATTCAGAAGTGAGAAGAAGAGGTTATCCGGACTCACAATGCGTCTCTATTAAATGTTAACGGTTGTTAGATAACACCTCCTCAGAAAAAAAACAAAATAATCACCACGTGTCCTGACACGACTTAAACCAAAGACATAAACAAGTAGGAACTGGCATGTATCCTTCTCACACTTCTTCCATTGGAAGAATATGAAAATGAATCCATCTCTGTCTGAACACTCACCACAACAATACTGCTTAACTTTGGTCTGGCCAAATGCTTTCCTGATTAATACTCATCACTCATTATACTGAAGGGAAAAAAAAAAAAAACAGCACAAAGATCCATCTTCAGAATCCCTGTCAACAGCTCCGTCGGCTCAGAAATCTTCCTCCCCCCTTCTCCTCTTAAGCAGACTGAAAAAAAGCAAGGCCTCAGGTTTGACACACTGTCCAGACTCCAGACTCTGTTTTTGTAAGGCTGCTTATGGCTTCAGCAGCAGGAGGTGTAGGGTCTGCCACAAATATTTCTCCCAGGGAATGCTTTCCAAAACAACTGACTGAAAGTCATCAGTGGGGTTTTTTTTGGGCAGGATAAGTCGGGGGAGCTGATTGAGAGCTATCGCTCACACTCCATGTGAGGAGAAAAGAGCAGATCGAGCCAGGAACCAATGAAGGAAGCGAATGGCTCTGTGATCTGAAGCACTTGGAGCTTCACAGCCTCTTTATTTCTGCCTTAGTAAAGCTATGCTGTTGTTGGATGGGCTCCAGGTTTGAGCGTTTTATTGGTAAGCCCACATTCCCGCGAAGTGCACTGACTGCTCTTACTACACACATTCAAACTTGTTTACCTATGTTTAAGAATTACACAGAACTTGAGATTTTCTTTTCTAAATTGAAGTTAGCCTCTGAGCGCACTTTCTATTAACTCGAATTTCAACAGCATTTTGGAAGGTCTTCCAGATGACTTATCCCGACTTACACATTTTCCCCTCGCATATTGATTGTAGCGTATCAGCCTGAAAGCTGCAGTGGCTCAATCACAATCTCCTAATGGTGGGAAAAAAGTGTCTAAACCTGGGTTACAGCGATCTGACAGAGAGAAATAACTCCAAGCTATGTCTACAACTCATCTTAATAGCCAGGCACAATTGATAAAAAGGGCAAAAAGCAGACTCTGTTTCAACAATGTTCAAGCGACGTTGGCTGCTCATGCCCTCGGCAAACCGAGATAAGGCCTATCTCTCTCCATCATCACTAAACAAGATTGAGCAGAAAAATACAAATTACAAAGGCTTTAGGCAAAGCTCTTTATCTACTGTTTGGGGGAGTTTGATCATGGCTGAGGAAATGGCTCTGTGTGTCGGACAGATCCTGTCCCACCACTTCCACTTGGGCATGAAACAATGCGAGCAGCTACTATCTGAGCCACGCCGCTATCCTTCCGCATGTGGAAAACAAGCAGAAACCTCACCCATTCCTAACACTAGAGAAACAGCTCTGTCTGTTGAAACATGATAAATTCAGAAAACAACAGCATGCACAGGAGTGGATGGGTATAAAAGCATGTTTATATCGTGCGAGGATTTGGGCTTTACTCTGCTTCACAGGCTGTACGATAAACACACATCCATTACATCATTTTCATCAACTAATGGACTGATACAGAGTGAATTTTGGTCTATAACAGATTTTTTGTATCCAGTGCATCCTCCTTAACAGCTTTAAAGCTAGCCATTTTTGTTTAGAGCTAAGTTTTGTTTTGAGTTAATGTGACAGTAATCACAAAGAGTTTTGTTTCTTATTTTTTTCCACACTAGTGTGCAGCACACGGGACACCTTGATGCAGGCGTACAATCGATCAGCGTGGCTCAACAGCTCGCTGGCCCGCGGCCTCACAGCGGGAGAGCTCCACCAGCGCCAGCCTTCTGAAGGCTCAGGATAAAAGTTAGCCCCTAGCGCCAAGGCCCAGACACGAACAGACGAGGAAAAAGAGGAAAAACAAACGTGTGTTTTGGGCCGGCCTGATGGACCCTGCTCTCAGGAGGCCCCATGTTCGTCTGATGATGTCGATAATGGAGGCCGCTCGGGCCCAGGAGTGCACTTAAACACCAGGATTAGCTCAGCCAAAATGCCTGTGTTTTTAATACACGCCGACGGAAGGAAGCGCTCGGCTACAAAGCGACGGAGCGCTGCTCTTCTGTGGCTTTTCATGACAGGTCAGATGGTGGAGGGGGAAGAACAGAAAAAAGACACAGGTACATCCTGGCTCTGGATATCAACTACCAAAATAATCATCCCCTTTCCTAAAAAAGAAATATGACAAGAGAGGGATATGAATTTTCTAGAACGCCTATTAGTAGGAGTCTAAATCAGATTTATAGAAGTCAAAATACAGACCAAGTCATTAATTAATGTTTTACATACAAGAGAGCCAGCACGCGAAACCACAATTAAACCACAGAGTTCCAGTAATTTTTTAATGAAATAATTTAAAACCCAGCTGGAGCTGACATGCAGTAAGTTTCACTACTTTTTTTTTTTTTTTTTAACCTAACAACATGGTGTATGGTCTTGAGGTTACATGAACTTACAAAAATATTTTTTTCCTTAACCTTTTATTGCCACAAAAATTGATGCTATTATATATTTAAAAAAAAAACCTGTAGTTTATTCCAGCATTTGCAAGAAGGTGAAATGTTTAACCTGATTAAAGTCCTCTAAGAGTTTCTAGCAGTATGTCCATCCATCCATTTTCTGTACCGCTTATCCTACACAGGATCGCGAGCCTGGAGCGTGTCCCACACCCTGGACTGGGTTCCAATCCACTGAAGGGCACAATCACGCGCACACACACACGCCCATTCACACATTACGGACAATTCAGAGATGCCAATCAGCCTACGACGCATGTCTTTGGACTGGAGGAGGAAAGTGCCCGGAGGAAACATGCAAACTCTACACACACGTGGGAATCGAACCCCCAACCCTGGGGGTGCAAGGCAACTGCACTAACCACTAAACCAGCATGACCCCTTTCTAGCCATATACAATATACCAAAGTGATATACCAAGTTAAAGAGGTAAGAGATGCTGACAAATCATACGACAGCGCACCTTTGACCTGACTTTTGACCTGCAGATATACACACGGGCATGAGAACGTGCACACACAAACACAGGATTTGAGATGGCCACATGTAATGTTTTGAAGATCCTGTAGGTGAAGTGGCATTGCAGCCAGATGTGACTGATACAAGCTGATTTTAATCACTAGGGTACAGCTGTGAGGATAAAAAAAAAATCTACTTTATTTGCTATTACTGTATCAATATCACTGCTTCTCAAATCAAAGGTAAACATGAAGGAAAGAATTAATAATTAGTGATTGTGGGTGTCAGATATCTCCTGTTATTTCCATTCTTATGTCTCATATTCGAGAATTTTTAATCCTTTTTACGAGGATCACAAGGTACAGCCGACATTTAATTCGGCCGCTGATTTATTAGACGCGCACTTGAAGGAAAGAGTACATCAATCTTGGGCATATCCATGCAATCAGCGCGCACATAAAGAAATGAAAGATCTCTCCACTGGCAAAACTGTTATCTCTCTGTCTAAAAGCTAGGTTCAGAGATCAGGCTCGTCAGTGCATGGCCCGGCTGCGTCGTGTCTCTCAGATTACACACATCAAAAGCCTGAGAGCCACCAAGAGGAGGAGGGATGAGAGCAAGGCCACATTGTCACCACACGATTAACATCACTGCTGAAAAAGATGCTCCTCCATACCCCCACCCTCCCCCCATTAACAATACTGCCAAAGAAAATGATACCTTCTTTTGATTTCTGAAAAGGACAGACAATTCTTTAGGAAAAAAGAAAAAAAGGGGCAACACGGCATGAAGTGTGAGTCGGACGCAGCTATAGGTGGCACTGTTGCATCACAGTTCACGCGTGTTCTCCTCACACACTTCGCCGGTTACAAAAAGCGAAAGGGGTGTTTCAGTACACCACCTAAAAATATTCTTTCATCTATGTTCAAGTGTCATTTCCCCAAAAGATTTTAATAACATCTAATTATTTCAAACTGCTAGGATGGATCTTTCAAAATATCACACTTCCCAAACACATTTTTTGATGCTAAAACTGCTCTTTTCCTGGGAGAGTGATTCAACAGTTAATTATCGTAGGGGCTTTTTTTTTTTTTCATTCCCTCCGCCACAAATCAAACTCGAGCGAACGCTGAGTGGAAAACATCTTGAAAAGCACCACACACGCAAACATAGTGCGAACAAACTCACTGATGTTAAACGAGCATATATAAAACTTATAAAGTAACTCATTTGTACATGAAGAAAAAAAAAAGTGCTTTTTTTTTTAGTAGTTATCTAACTGTCTTATTTCACTTACTTTTGGATAAAAGGAGATGGTAATATAATCCAATCTCACACCTTATTAACAGTGAAGCAAAATTCAAGGACTGTGTTTTAAAGAGAAAGTGAAATTGCTCTTATAGCCTACAGCAAATGTTGCACATGTGAACTGATATAACTCACTATGATAAACACAATAACAGCCATTTCCTATTTTCTTTCCTTCAACTACTTGTCTTGAAATAAAAAGCCTAAGCAGAACGGGTGAACACAGAGATTCAAACAGTGGTGTGTGTTGTTCCTCTAAACACAGAGAGGAAATTAGTGTTTATCATATGCAGGCGTAAGTCCACAGTTCATCCAAAGTGTGGTAAAAGTATAAAGATGGCAGGTCTAATGGCCCTCAGTGGCCTAACAGCAACAACACAACAACAACAACAACAACAACAACAACAACAACCACCTGTGGGACATCCAGTAATGTGATGGGTTAGCGGGTTACTACGGTGGCCCACACTGACCAAAATAATGCGGAGGGGAAAGAAAAGGAAGCATGGCCCTGAGGCAGGTTCATGAGCTCTGCCCTTCTCGCTCTGGTCATGTCCAATGAGAGAGTGATGCTGAACGAACATGTTTGCACAGAGACGTACAGAAAGAGCATTTCCCCGTTCCTGTTTACATCGTGTCAGGTCATCTATCCCCCTATTCCAAAATAACAAGCAGTAAAAAATTTGATGGCACTAAAGGCGAAAAATTTGAAGGTGCACTAAAGGCGAAAGGATGATCTGCAGTGTCCAGTACAGATATGAGAGGCTGTTCAGTCTGTCAGGAAGAGAACTTTTTAACTCTGATTAACTCTCTCATGGCAGAAACAAGCATGGTGAAGTGAACAAAGTACATCAGGCAAGAGACCTTACAGACACCTCGTAACACAACCTGGTCATCAAATATTAGGCCCTCAAAATTAATATTCTCTAACATGACTTGGAGAAAAAAAGCTGAATAATACATTTGGAGGATGTTTTTTTTTTAAAAAACAAAAAATCATAGAGAAAAACATGAATGTGAAAGTGAATAAGTGAAATATTTATATACCACTACTACTACACATATATATGTTTATGTAAGTGTATATATATATAATGAGCAGCAGTTTTGCGTGTATACACACACACACACACACATATATATATATATATATATATATATATATATATATATATATATAAAATACAAATGCTTATTTATTTATTTCGCAATTTTACCGCAAACAGTACTGGGTACAGGGATGTTAGTGCATAATCACACAGAAGAGTAATATAATATAATCAGGTGTGATTTGTTAAGCTACTCAATGCTGTGTTACAAACAAAACAAAACAAAACAAAAAAAACCGACAAATTTCAGTTTCGGATCGTGGAATGTATTTGCAAATTAGGTAAAATAATGAATTAAAAACAGATAGCTCTTGGTCATTGCCTCAGATTTTTGGACTATTTACGGACTAAGAGGTTTTCGGTTTGTTCAAAGAAACTGCTAAATTAAAGGCAATTAAATGTTACATTCACTAAATTTCTCAATGGTCATAACGACAAGTATGCAGACGATATAAAACTACATTTAGTAGATTTTCCTGGAGGCACATTCAGACACCACAGCTGGGGACTCAAATCAAGTGACCTGGACTTGCATAACTCAAATCACTATGCTCATGACTTAGTGTCCTCATGACAGGACAAAATCAGAAATACTTGTCGTGCCTCAACACGCACGTCTTAACTAACTTGAGACCCGCCTTATTTTAACTTGCACGTACATGACGGGGTTGTCTGAACTAAAACAAATAATTGTTGGCATAAAGAATAGGACTTCAATTGCTAGTGCTAATTCTATGTAGTATATATACATACATACATGTACATATACATATATGTGCATATACTGTATATACTACTTATAATATTATATATATATATATATATAATAAGTAGTATAAGTAGTATACTTAATAAAGTAGTATAAGTAGTATAATTAATATATACTACTTATATACTTATATACTATAACTATGTGTATATATATATATATATATACACACACACACACACATATATATTTCCCCAGGAACCAATTTATTAGGAACACCTGCATCAGCCAATCATGTGCCAGCAGTGTAATGCATAAAATCATGAAGGGCATGAGCTTAATAAGTTATCGTTCACATCAAACATTAGAATGGGGCAAAAATGTGATCTCAGTGACTTTGGCTGTGGCATGGTTGTTAGTTCCAGATAAGTTGGTCTGATTATTTCAGAAACTGCTCATCTCCTGGGATTTCACGAAAAAAAAAAAATGAGCAGCAGTTTTGCGGGTAGAAACGCCTTGTTGATGAGAGTGGTCAGAGCTGACAGGAAGGCTACGTTAACTCTTTACAACCATGGTCATCAGGATCACAGAACACACTACACATTGAACCTTGGGGCATATATGCTACAACAGCAGAAGACCACATCCAGTTCTTGTCAGTCAAAACAGGAATCTGAGGCTACAGTAGGCACAAGCTCACATAAACTAGACAGCTGAAGATTAGAAAAACACCAGGTGATTTTTTAATTTTTAGAAGTTTCAACTGCAAACAAAATGATTTTAGTCCCCCTGTGACATGAATCACACAGTCTGGGAGCACTTGCAGATATCCTGTTTTTCAAATTATCAGCAACAAATATTGTAATGTGAGCCAAGCCAAAGAACCGGCAGAACAAATTCACTGGATGTTCTTACTACGTTTTGCACGTGTGCTTGCACAACAGCAAGGCCGGGTTACGCGGCAAAAATAGCATATTGCAATAAAAAACACAATAGTTGAAGACATTTTCACAACGCACACTACATATTCTATTTCACGGTACACACTACATAATATTTAATTATGTACAACAAAATTGTGAAGCCATATCATAATAACTATATTATAAAACTTTTCCAAAAAAGTATTTCATGAGTAAAAGTGGGGTGTGTGTGAAGCATTAAACATTTGATATAAAAAAAGAAAACTGAGCACAAGTTAAAAGGTCTTGTTGCAGATGACAAAATCTTCCCCAGTTTCTCTTTATATAGCAGGAAAGGGAAGGGTCACTGCAAATCACTAAACCTTTATCCTATGATGAATCATTTTTATTCTGATGGGAGTGGCCTCTTCCGGGACGATCCCGCCCCCATCCGCAGGGCTCACTGAATGGTTTTACAAGTATAAAATGATGTAAAGTATATTGTCATGGCCTTCAGTCACCAGATCTCAACTCAGTTAAGCACATTTTGGAGTGAAGTGTTAGACAATGCTCTTCACCACCATTAACAAAACACTGATAATGATGAACTGATGAGTTGGAAGCCTGGTGTTTGTCCCTTCAGTACAGTTCCAAGCACTTCCACACTAACTGAAGCTGTTCTGGCAGCTTGTGGTGGCCTGACACCTTACTAACACACATTATGATGGTTTTTCCTTTAATTTGACACTCTTCATATGGCTCTTTATCACTCTGAAGTGCTTCTTTTCCACTGCGGCAACCTCATTTTACTTTGTCACTATCAAACTTTCTCATAGAAGGTTATTCCCTGTATTTTCTCATGTGCTAAGTATTCCATAACAAGTGTGTTTAA